ATGTGCAGGGGGCCATGTGCACAAGTGTCTGCACAGGAGCCAGGCGCATCCTTCACTTTCCCGAGCTTTGGGCTCTGGCTAGAAATTCCTTAATAAAGGCTCGAAGTAAAAGGCTTCTTTGGCAACAAAAGCAATCATCAGGATGGAGCAGGGTGGATGTGGGGGGGAGGTGGGGTTTCAACCCTAAGTTCTTTTGCAGGTTCGCAGCTTTTAATTAGCACATCTCTGGGGACAGAGTCCTCACCTCTACCCCCACGCTTATAAACGGCAGGTCTGCTCTTGCTTTACTTTTACTGTCACCCGTGATGGGCCCAGGTAACCAAAGGAGCTCTTTCTCGAGCCTCTCATACAGATGGCTGACCAGTTCTCAGAGAGGCTACAACAGCAGGCAGATGCAGAATGCACCTGTATGGGTCTGGCGTACTCCCGTCATGCACCAGGAGATAATGAGCTCTGCTCTGGACAGAGCTCACAGCCAGGCCCAATGGGGAAACAAAGACCAGGAGCCCAGACCTGCCCCCCAGGAGCTCTTTCCTCCAAGTCCAAAGTGCAAGAGGATGCTCAGAAACTAGAGGCACGTGGGACACACACAATACCACCACCCTGCTCCACCCCTGCCCTCCTGCTGACAACTGCTGGGGACTTGGAAGGGAGAATATGAAAGCCCCTGCTAACAAGGGGGTCGTGGGGGTGCTGTGCTCCCAGGTAGCTCTCCTTTCCTGACATCTTTATGGAATCTGCCTTTTGACTGGCTTTGCTCTATAAGATCAATGGTCTGACAGAGAAAGTTTCCACCATCTTCTCTGAGGGAAGCACCTAGGCCTTACCAGTCTTCTCCAGCAGGACCAAAAGGGAGTATCAGCCCCATCAGAAAGGTCTCCAAGCCCTCCTGATCTTTTAGCAGCAGCTTGGAGAGGAGCACTGGATGGGGAGCACAGTGGGCACGGAGCCACAGGCTAGGATTCTAACCTGGACTCTCCCACGGTACATTTTTTTTTTTTTTTTTTTAGCTGTCTCAGTCTTGATTTCTTCCTCTGTGAAACAAGAACTTCCATTTATGCCACCTCCATGATTAAATGGTAGCACGTCAGGAGCACACGTGGACCAGGGCTCTTTCCCCAGGACTGTGGACAGGAAGAGGCAAGATCCGAGGTCTGGATACATCTCTGCATTATGCTGGTGAAGCTAGTGGACTGGTGCCCTTGGAAATCATACTCAATAACCCTAATCTATGGGATTTTGCCCAGCTACTCTAGGGGAGATCTTTCAAACTCGTTCAGAAAATCATCTTGTTTGACATTTCACTGCCAACGGTTAGTTGGGTTGGTCACTTTTTCTGCCTCTTTTGGTTTTCCACCTGATGCTGATCAAAGAAACCAAACAGAGCCCCAAAGCGAACAGCCAGCTACCACGCTCTCCCTGAATAGGACCGGTGGTGGATGTCATGGACTGGCCCTTTGGGACACGGAACTGCTGGAAATGTGTCCCAGGACTCTTGCCCTGGTTCCTTCATCCCTAGAATAAGATGCTTGGCTTTGCTTTCCTGTAAATGTTCTTCTAGCCTAAGATTTCATAATCCTTCCATCTTTCAACGTCCTTCGTCACCAGAAGCGGGGGACTGTAATCCAGCGCAAAAGGTCACAAATGAGGAGATACACCTTGCAGAGCCAGCTTCTTCCACAGATAACTCAGCACTCCACCAAAGTGAAAGCACTTACTTTCTTATGACTCAGTTGCTTTATCTAAGGACAAAGGAAAGGGCAATCAGGCCTATCCTTCTGAACGGAGACGTAGGGATAAAGGAAGGAACAGAAGCCGATGCAACCGGTTTCAGAGGCAGGTCTTTTACAGTCCTTAAAACCTGAGCAGTGTAAACGACCCACACATTCACTTTCCGCTCTCCTCTCTAGCAGAAAGAGGAGGGGGGTCTGGGGAAAGGCTGCACCAGCATTTCTACAGTCTACAAAGTCTCCAAGGTCTCCAAGCAGACCTAGCAGCAAAAGGAAAATGCCCTTTTTTGAGCAAGGAGGAGAGAGCACTGATCAGGAGGTGCTGAGGCCTGGGATGGAGTCCCACCTCTACCATGAATTCATCATACGACTCTGAAGGACGTCACATCCCTGCCTGAGCCCCATTTCCTCATCTAGGAGCTTGACCTAGCCTACTGGAGTGTTCCCTTCTAGCTGACACCGTGTGTTCCTCCTATCAAGCAGGAAAACAGTAGTGTGTCTTGTTATTTCTGAGCAAAGGCCCTAATTGTTCTCTACAGCATGAACTCCTCTATCTAAAAACCACAACCTCTGCGTCCCTCCCTCCCCCTGCCACCCCCTTCCTCTGAGATCCGCAAGACTGTTACAGAATATTCATTTATTTTTCTTCAGTGCTTGGGCTGAAGACTCTGATGACTAAGCCATTGAATTTTAATATGCCACTGTGCTCCCCGGAGGATTCCTTCATTTCCCAGCTCCCACCTCCCCTGCCCCCTGCGCCCTCTGTGGACATGTGGTAGTCGTTAGGAACAGTTTGATGAAGTTGAGGTTTGCAGAGTAGAGAGACGGGGGAGGGCTGGTGGTGAGGCATGATAAACGGACACAACAGGCCAGAGAGCCACTCAAAAAATAAACATAAAGCTCCTTTTGAGTGAGCCCACTAAAAACAGACTCCAAAAACCCTTCCCCCCTCCCTGTGTGTGTGTGTGTGTGTGTGTGTGTGTGTGTGTATGGGGGGGGGTAGGAGAGGGGAGTTCTCCCCATGTAAATGAACACTGCTCAGAGAAAGAAACAATTCTCTTTACTGGCAGCAAGCAGAAGAGCACATCGGGGCGCCGCCAGCCATATGTCACGAATGCTGAGTCCTCCAAAGCCGAGGCTGGCCATCCAACTCTCGGGCCCTCAGGACCGCCAGCCAATGCTGGCAGAAATCCACGAAGGAACCTGGGTCACCACGTCCCTGGCCAAGAACACCCCATTTGAGCTCAGTGTTGCTGACAGGCCCAGAGGACTGCCTTAAATTCTCTTTCCTGGATCCCAGTCCCAGCCTCTTGCCCATCCCAGTGGCCTTACTCTGTCTCCCACAGCCTACATTTCCATCCATGCAGTTAAAAAACCTGAGCTGTGAGCTCTGAACACAAACTGGGTAGCACTCACACCAAAAGAACCACTGTGAATGTGCAGAGGCACAGGAACGATTTTGTGGTTGTAAGAAAAGCAACATTTTTTTTTTTTTTTTTTAGAGATGCGTATTACAGCGGGAAGGGATAAAACGATGCACGGGATGGGATGACGCTTTCCAATACTAAAACAAACACAAGGTCAAACACAGGTGAATGGGGCAGAATCACAGTAACTGCTGAGTCTGGGGAATGGGTATGTCGGAGTTCTTCACACAACTCTTTCCACTCGTCTGTATGTTCGAAAATATTCATAATAAAGAACAAAACAATCTTAAGGTGCCAGACTTCCATTGGTAACAATTTCACTTGCAACCCAAGTTTCTTCACAAGTCTGTGAGCTGGGAGCGTTATAGGAATCGCCTCAGGGCAGAGAAGCACAGCACCTCACAAGCTGTTGGTGCTGATGTCACTTGTTTGTTACCCAGGAGCTTGGGCAACCGGATGCTACCTAAGAAGGAAGCATCGATGTTCTTATGCTTTCCAGGAGGCCACCGGAGACTCCGCTGGTTAAATACATCACCTTCCGTGCTGGGGTTTTTATTTGGGGTATCTCCCCAAGGATCTCTTAGGCACACTCTTCAGAGGCGCTGTAAGATGGCTAAGAAAATTGAGTTTACTCCTCTCCCATGACTTCACAATTGTAAATGATACACGGCTGTCTGTAAAACATGCCCCCCAACCCCATTTTTTAAAAAAAGTGGCTGACTGAATTTTCCTCTTGCACACGTGAGAGCTCAAGCAAACAAGTTCACACGACCACAGCCGAGAGATACTCTGCGCTGCTTCTGGAACGAGGACCAAGAGGCGGAGGCGCCATCACGCCCTGCCCGGGAGGACGCCGCGCGCCAGCTGCGGAACGCCGTTCCCTGGACAACCCACCGCGGCAGCCCGGAACCGGAAGGCCTGGGCTGGAGTCCTGCTCCGCCACCGGCCCAAACCTCGGGCGGCTCCCTGAAGCCTCCCGCGCCTCATCCGCCTCATGTGCGGAACAGGGTTACCACCAAGCGCCTTGAAGGGCACCAGAAGGCTGCCCCAGGGCGGGCGAGCTGCCCCGATGGTTTCCTAGGGCCGCTGTAACAAGATGCCACAGACGGGGCGGCTTCAAAGAACAGAAGTGTATTATCTTACACTTCTGGAGACTGTAGGCCCGAGATCAAGGTGTGAGCAGGGCCGCCCTTTCTCCGGGTAGAATCCTCTCTTCTTCTCTCCAGTAGTGGCTGCCAATCCTTGGCACTCCTTGGCCTAGAGACGAGGCCCTCCAATCTCGGCCTCCGCTGCCACATGGTGCTTCGTGTTCAAACTTCCTTCTTCTGAGAGGGATGCTGCTCCTGTTGGACTAGACGCCCACCCTACTCTATTAGGACCTTGGCCCACTTAACTAATTACATCAGCAGCCACCCTGTTTCCCAATAACGTCACATCCTGAGGTACCGGGGGCTAGAATTTCAACACGTCTTTTGGAGGACACCGCTCGGCCGTGACACACTCTTGCAGGCTTATCGGAGTGGTGGCTGCCCTCTGTGCCTCCTGTCAGTCTGTGGCTGAGGGGAGGAAACTGCCCACCAGGCCTGTTCGGTGGTTAATATGCTGGAGAAGTGCCCACGGTGACAGGAACAGCTTCTTCTCTTGCGGTTTTTCCTAAAAGGGGGATTGGTTTTATGAAAAATGCTGTGGTTTTTTTCATCAGGAAGTGCCCCTAGCTAGAGCCCGCGGGACGGAGCGTTGCTCCAGCGGCAGTTAAACTGAGAGAAATTTTTGGCTTTGTCAGGAAGGGCAGATTTGCTGTGGGCCACAGAGGATGTGCTTGTATGGTTGTGTACAATACTCCTTGGGCCACCTATTTGCAACAGCACCTAAGTCTGGATGATAGAAGAAACGAAGAAAAAAGAAGCGGGGGACTGAGTCCCTATCCTTCCATGTTCTTCCCTAGAGGTTGGTTAAGTTTTTACGGTCAAAGTTTCAGATAGTAAATAGTTTATGCTTTGGGGGCCATCTGGTCTCTGTCACAACTACCCAACTTTGTCATTATGTCGTGAAAGCAGCCATAGGCAATACATAAACAAATGGGCGTGGCTGTGTTCTAATGAAATTTTACAGACACTGAAATCTGAACTCCATAGAAATTGTATGCACCATTAAATGTTATTTGCCTTTTATGGCTTTTCAACCGTTTCGAACGTAAAAAACATTCTTAGGGGGCAGGATGCATCCCATGGCCTCAGCTTGCCGACCCCTGACCTTCACGCTGCCAGATATCAGAAGTTGCGTGTTCTCCCGCAGCACACTACTGCTGTCCTACGACCTGGTTCTTCAATACAACTTTACACTTCATAGCATGTTTTCAGAGGATCATGTAACCTGATCCTCTTATTCACCTTACTGGTGGCACACTAGACATTATCCCCATCTTACAGATGAGAAAACAGAGACTCCATTAAGTCCAATGCTTGGTTAGCGAGTGGTAAAGCCAGACTGAAATGTACGTCTTCTGACCCGCCACAGATGTACCTATTGCGTCCACAACTCCCTGACTCAGCATTTGTCATCTTCCCGATCACTTGTTAAGGAATTCTGCCACAACTGGGGTGTTGGTGCAGAGCGGAGAACTCTCGTCTAGAATCCCAGCTTCCTGACCAAGAAGACCAGGTGTAACGCTGACCTCAGAGAAAGATGGACGTTGAGCAGTTCTCACTGCACCTGCTGCACCCACGCACAGTAAGGAACAGAGTCTGGGGCCCAACCAATTAGCTCCTGATGCATCTAATCGGCTACACCTTTGAAGACAGTGTTCTTTCTTCATCTATGTCAGGAGTTGACAACAAGATGCTTATGGCGTCAGGCATGCAAGATGAATGAATGAAGTTTGGGGGGGGGGCGTGGAGGCCTATAGCAACTTGGAGAACATCTGCTGCATCTAAAGGGGGCAGATGCTACTCAGCTTTAGCCAACTGTTGCCAGATCAGGAAATCCCTGAATTTTAAATGATCGCATAAGAATTTTGTTTTAAAGAAGTAACAGGTCCAAAGATACCCACAGGTCACTGTGTGAAGCCTTGGCCCTGAAGCCTGTCTCTAAACTTTAGGCAGGTGATACCACCTTGTAGTATACAGAGTTGACTCTCTTTCCTGAAAACACTCATTATGGCAGCCAAAGGTGTGGGTGGGTGGGTTTTTAGAGAGGAGACAAGGAAACAAGCAGCCACATGACCCTGAATAGAGCAGTACAAGGGGGGAAAAAAAAGGCTTGGTGTTTGGAAGTAGATGAACACTGTATTATTCAAGACAGGTTCAGCCTGGGGCAGAAATAGAAAAAAAGTCCTTGCCATGTCCCTATTCAGACTAAATTGAACTTGATGGTATCCTGTCACAAGACACCTTTGATGGAAATGAAGATGATAATCACTGATGCCATCCAGCATGGTGATTGATAATGTTCTCTCTTCCAAATCTCAACAGTGTCCTTGAATCCCAGCAAGGTGCCTGGCTTGGGCCCAACATTCAGACTCTGGATCCAGAGGAAGGAGCCCTAGGCTCAGTGGGTACCCCTGCTCCCAGTTTACACCCCGTAAATACTTATAACTTGCCTTTTGCACCATGACCCATTATATGCTCCTTGATGGAGAACCATGTTGTGCTCGTCCTTGAAACCCTGGCATCCTCTGTGCCAAAGCTCAGCAGAGGATTCGACCGGCTAATGCAATACTGTGTGTGGTACCCAGCAGGCCTCAGTGTTTGCTGAGCCAGCACGGGGAAATCAGCACTTAAGGAACATCCATGCACCAGGTGCTTTATCCCACTTGATGTTTGTAATAAAACCAGGAGGCACTGTTATTATTCCCCCTTGTACAGATAAAACAAAACTTTTAAAAACCAGCTCTAGCAGTTTAAGCAACTTCCTTAAGATAAAAAATATGATGAGAAGTCAAGCTAGGATTTGAACGCAGGTCTGACCCCAAACTCCACTCTTTCACTGGGATGTGAGAAACACTTGCAGTACAGCCCCGAGGACACTCCTCCAAGGGCCACCGAGCTTGTGCCAAGCATGTCCTTCAAGGAAGGGAGCTACCAAGAGGAGCAGTGGGAAAGGCAAAGAAATGATGGCAGTTGACTGGTTCAGTTCCTTCTTGGGTCTGCCGTGGACTGAACAGGGGCCAGGGGAGCCTGTCACCTGGGGAGCTTGAGTGGAACCTGACACAGAGTTAGTTCCCATATTACATGCCTTCTAAATCTTCCTACTTCCAAAGATGCATTCTGAATTCATGCTCTGGAGTCAGGAAGACCCAGTGGCCTCATGACTTCCTGTTGACTTTATATGACTGTTCCCTCATCTGTAACTGAAGGTGTTTGGCTTTTTTTTTTTAATTTTTTATTTTACAGAGAGAGAGAGAGAGTGAGAGTGTGAGTGGGGGAAAGGGGCCGAGGGAGAGGGGCAGAGAGAGAGAGAGAGAGAGAGAGAATCTTAAGCAGGCTCCACACTCAGTGTAGATCCTGACCCTATGACCCTGGGATCACGACCTGAGCCAAAATCAAGAGTCAGATGCCCAACCAACTGAGCCACCCAGGTGTCCCTGGAACTGAAGGTGGTAGGGCACCCGCACCTCCTTGGGTTGCTGGGAGGATGAAATAAAATAGTGACTGTAAAGTGCTTAGCACATTGCTTGGCATACAATCAGAATTCAATACAATGTTGGCAGTGGTTTGTTTGTTTGTTGGAACCTTTAATTTCGAAATACTTATAGATTCAAAGGAAGCAGCAAAAACTGTACAGAAAGGTCCTGTGTATCCTTCACCCAATTCCTGTAGATGGTTACATCTTATATAACTATATAGTATGACAGCAAAACTAGGAAATGGACATTGGAGGGGCGCCTGGGTGGCGCAGTCGGTTAAGCGTCCGGCTTCAGCCAGGTCACGATCTCGCGGTCCGTGAGTTCGAGCCCCGCGTCAGGCTCTGGGCTGACGGCTCAGAGCCTGGAGCCTGTTTCTGATTCTGTGTCTCCCTCTCTGCCCCTCCCCCGTTCATGCTCTGTCTCTCTCTGTCCCAAAAATAATAAATAAACGTTGAAAAAAAATTTTTAAAAAGAAAGGAAATGGACATTGGAATAATGTGTAGGTATAGTTCTATGCCATTTTATCACATGTGCCTGTGGTTTATTTTTATTTTTTTAATGTTTATTTATTTTTTAATTTTTTTAATGTTTATTAATTTTTTGAGAGAGAGATTGACAGAGTGTGAGCAGGGGAAGGGCAGAGACAGAGAGAGGAAGACACAGAATCAGAAGCAGGCTCCAGGCTCTGAGCTGTCAGCACAGGGCCCGACGCGGGGCTCAAACCCACGAACCGTGAGATCATGACCTGAGCCGAAGTCAGACGCTCAACCAACTGAGCCACCCAGGCGCCTCTAATGTTTATTTATTTTTGAGAGAGACAGAGAGAGGGAGACAGAGTGCAAGCAGGGGAAGGACAGTGAGAGAGGAAGACATAGAACCTAAAGCAGGTTCCCGGCTCCGAGCTGTCAACACAGAGCCCAACCCGGGGCTCGAACTCACAGATGGTGAGATCAGGACCTAAGCCGAAGTTGGATGCTTACCTGACTGAGCCACCGAGGTGCCCCTGTGGTGTATTTTTAGGATTAAAACCATTTTATAATTTATAACTATCATGAGAGGCAGTACAGAGCTGTGGTAAAGTGTGCAGCTTCTAATTCCAGGCTGTCTGGGTTCTACAACCCATTACCGGCTGTGGGAACTTCAGCAAGGTACTTAACTGCTCTGTGCCCTAGTCCCCTTATCTGTAAAAGGGGGACAACAATAATAGAACTTCTCCGGCAGGACTATTAGGATTGAATAATTTAATACGTGTAAAGTGCTTAAATAGTCCTGGGTATGCACTCAAGAAAATACTCCATGAATTTTAGCTATTATTATGTTCACAGTTTTTATTCTTCCTGGGAGCCAGGAAGAGAGAGGAGAGAATAATTTCAGGCTGACTCTCTCTGTCATGGACCTCAGACCTCTCTTCTCCTTTGGTCAGGATGCTTTACAGAAATGAGCCAAGGAAATACCAGGCATCCACTTTTGTTGCTGTTTTGTTTTGGAATAAACTCTTGTTGCACTCTGGAGGAAACTCAGACAGTCTAGGCTTGAGCCTGCTTTTGGAAGGCTCGGGGCCTCTGTTGTGGAACCTTGCTGTTTTGGAAGAACAGGGGCAGAGCTAGCTGGCTGGCTCTGCTGGCCTCACTCCCTCACATAGGCCAGCGCTTGACCCCAGATAACAGTATCCCAGAACACTCATGCTTTCTCTGAAAGATTCCTCCATCCATCTGAATGGTGGCCTCCTGGATGGACTTCCCGGCGGAGCAAAATTAGCAAACCTCAGAGGAGGTGGATGCAAAAGGAACCCATCGTCACGATGGGCCCATGGGAGAAGAACCAATGAAGTCTGGCTTCAGAGTTCCTAAGACCGTACATCTGCTTATGCAGCAGCGTCGGAGCAACGATGTAGCTAAGAGGAAGGAAATCAGACACCGGCAGCTAGCTGCATGAAGGGCATCACCCCCCAAAGCAGGCTGTTGCTATGGGAGAAGGGATAACAATCATTGTGCTAACAGGTACCATGTATTAAGCACTTACTTTGTCTTAGACAAACTCAATTGTCAGACCAGCTTTAAGATGTGGTAACACCACCCCATCCTACAGCAAAAGAATAGAAGGTGGGAGAGGTCGTCACAGCTAATAAGCCGCAGAGCCAGGATTTGAACCCAGGCTCAGGCACTCCCACACTGGGGCTCTTAGCCGCCAGGCTGCAGTCCCTGCCCCGCGACCACAGTCCCTGTAGGCTGGGCTTTCATTTTGTTCTTTATTAATGTCATGACACATGTGGTTGGCTCAGTTCTGGTTGCAGCCCTTCTAGTATGGTCTTATGCATCCCTCCATTAGGCAGTGGATTGGAATGGCTTCTTTATATCAACAAAACCTAGCACATGTCAGCTGGATAACATTAAGAATAAAAGACAGGTTTTTGTTTGTTTTATTTTCTGGCTTTTTTTTTTTTTGGTCAAGCAGGTCTCACTGTGTTTCATTTGGAAGGTAAAAGGCCAGACCAGTGGATTTGCAGAACCCCACTGAAATGGGATCCTACTAGATACATGGGTCAGGCCGCATTGGCTCGCCCTGGCACGATACTGCGCAAACGCACCTTGAAAATCCCGGGTGCGTTACGGCCCTGGAAACATCTCCTGCTCTCCCACTTCCAGCCTGCTCTCGTCCTCAGTCAGAGGCTGCGAGTCATTCCAGACAATGTGGGGGGATGACGTCAGCAGGGAGAACTGGACCAGCGGCCTTGACCGTCTGACTCCTGCCTGGGGCCCCAGTCCTGGGGCTGCCGAGCCTCACAGAGGGGACGGACATCTCCAGGCGGTGATGAGTCACCTGAGCAACATGCGGGCCAGGCCGGCTCGAGATCCCTCATTCCACTGCCTGAGCCTTGAGCGTCAGCGAACTAAACAAACCGTGGGGGCCGAATACGCCACACGCTGATGCCCTCACCTCAAAACCCAACCGGAAAATCAGATTCCATCATTTGGAATCTATTTAGCTTGGATCCATGACAGCATTCCTTACTCAAGACCTGAGTCGGAACTGGGCCGGAACCCACAGGCTAAGGCTCCGCTAAGGAGCGTCAGACTTGCAGGCGTGGTCCGCCTCACCCTCATGGAGTCAGGGCTGTAACCTATGGCAAATGGAAAGCTGGTGGACACCCGCCCGACCCCCCCCCCCCCAAAGGAAACGTTCCATCCTGCCTGCTGTGGAAACAGCACACACTTGACTTTCTCCAGAGCCGTTTAGTTAAGGGGAAACCGTGGGGACCATGGCTTGCCACAAGCTTCCCCTGAATATCGGCCGTTTTCCTTCGGTTCTGCCCTAAGAAGGGGCTAAAACAGCAACATGATCTTTGACTTCCAGTCTAGAAATAGCTGTGGAGGACACAGGTACCAACTGCAGCTCCGAAGTCCAGAAGTCACCCCCACACCTGTGGGTCCCAGCTCTGTGCCTCCTTTTCACATCATTTCTCATCGGCTGTCACTAAGCTGGTATGGCCAGTTTTCCCTGGGCTGACGGGTCTAGTTAAGGATGGTTGTTAATTATGCGCAGCATATGCTAAGGAATAATAATACGTGCCGCCACCCTTTCATGTCAAGAACACCAAAACCTGCAACCCCGGAATTCCCTGTTGGGGGAGCCACATGCGCTACTCCTATCGGGTCAGCTGTGGTCTTCTTCACAGGGGAGCGAAGCAACGGCCGGAGAAGGTGACGCACTGTCCCGCCAGAGGTATCACAGGGGGACACCGCTGGCCGGAGGGAGAGAGGAGACGCTCCAGTCCTCAAAGGAGGGTCGCTATCAAATACTTGAGCAGAGACGTTTTCGTTTAATCCAGCTGCGTGTTGAGCTTACAGAAAACACAAGTGGCATTTGGGCCGTGCCAGTGCGGGAGGGCTGTGGAGTAACAACTCAGGGGTCGAGGCCTCGGCCTCAGAGGGGGGACTTCTGGATCACAGCGAAAGCTCTCGCATGGGAAGAAT